CCGGCAGCCCCGCCCCTGTGTGGGCGCGCGCCGGCCGCGCCCCTCCCGCTCAGGTGCTGCGCGGGCACGCGGAGAGGCGTGGGCTCCGGCGCCGCTGGGGCTTGGAGTCGGATGATAAAGTCATCGCCGTCCCGCCCCTGTACGCTTCCAGTTTGACAGATATTAATACATGGCCATAAAGTTGGCAGAGGGTCGCTGTTAGGTTCGGTGGTATATAGAAAAACAGATATTTCGAAGATGCATGAAAATGTGACAGTCGTGAACTGTTTGAGGACCCACTAACCAAGAACACCCGGTATTCTCAGAGTTCAGTGGCCAGAAAGTTTGAAATGGGAATTCAGTCCTACGAACACGGTTTTCTCCTGTGGCTGCTCGTAAGCGTCTCTGATAAAATAACGATCGAGTTTCGTTCTGAACTACAAGTATCCAAGCCTTGATGAGACCGATTAAAAGCGTGCTATAGGTTACCAGCCACCACTGCGTATGCCGAGACCTCAAAGCACATTTCTTCATTTATTGACGTTTTAACGTACTTACGTATACGCACGGTGTTCACACAGGGTCAACGTAATGCACTTTGGCAGAGCCGGATTTACCAAACTGCATGAAATGAATAGGAAGGCTCTAAAAGTCTTTACATACTATTATATCTCCAGTATTGGAAATCCTGCAAAGGTGAAATACATAGCATGGCGAATTGTTTTTTAAAAAGTTGACAATTTGAAATAGAAAAAACCTTATGTACAGATAGAAATTCTCTATGATAAATGTGATCAATATGAATGACAAATATGCACTAATAAAAAATTAAGTTTAAAATTTTTTTCGATTGTATTTTGAAGACTTAAATCTTAACCAAGTGCTACTTTTTCTCTTTCCATCTTTTATGGCTCTCTGGGAATATATATAGAATAGGTCTCCCTCTACCAAAGAGAAGTAATCTATTTTTTTTTAATTCCTGTGCTTCCCTATATGCCAGTATGAGTATTCGCAATTAAATTTTCCAACCTTCGATACCATGCTTCCGTATTGCTTTGGGTATATAGAAATCCATTCTGCACATACCACAAATTCGGCAGAAATAATACTGGTGATTGAACAGCAACACCATTGTATAAGTGTCTTCTAAACCTACCTGCACAGAATTATTTTTGAACCACTCAATAACATTGCTGGTTCCTTCAGGCAAATATTTTAGTTCATTAAATCTCCTGAAAGATCAACTGGAAGGAATGCCACTTCAGAAAAAGGAAACGTTTTTTAAATGGGAAATTTTTGTTATTGCTGCATCATGTGACCAGCGTTTTAATAAGCTTTTGGGAATTTTTTTTTCGTCTTCTTGAGATAGGGTCTCAATATGCAGTTCAGGCTGGCCTTCAACTCACTTTGTAGCCCAGGCTGGCCTCAAACTCACAGCAATCCTCCTGCCTCAGCCTCCCAAGTGCTGGGATTACAGGCATGCACCACCCTGCCCAGTATATAGAATTTAAATGTTAAGAATTTTTACTTTTGAGATTTTGACCTTTTACATTCTGTCTTTCAATATTATGATTGGTATCACATTGTACCATATCTAAGAAATCACTGCCTAACCCAATGTTTTTTTCTAAGAGTTTTATCAGTTTAGGTCTTCTACATAAGACTTTCATACTTCAGAAGTTAATTTTTGTATATGGTATGAGCTAGGAATCCAAATTCATTCTTTTTCATAATACCTAGTTTTACCAGTACCATTTGTTGCAAAGATTCTCTTCTCTTTTATCACCTAGCACCCTTGTTTTTAAAAAATTGATTAACTAGCTAGGCGTAGTGTGACATGCCTATTATCCCATCTCTCTGAAACAGAAGTATCCCACATTTGAGCCCAACCTGAGCAACTCAATGACTTAGTGAGAAATTGTCTTTAGGGACTTTTTTTTTTTTTCTTTTTTGGTATTTTTTTTTTTTTTCTTTCTTCTTGGCACCAGGAATCAAACTCAGGGCCTCCCACTTGCCAGGCAGGCACTGTGCTGTTGGGCTACATCCCCAGCCCAGAAACTTGTCTTTTAAAAAAACAAAACAAACAAACAAAAAAGGCTGGAGATGTAGCTCAATAGAAGGGCCCTGAGTTCAATTCTCAGTACTGCAAAACTTAACTGTATATGTTATGACTTATTTCTGGACTTTAAAGTCTATTCCATTCCACTGATCTATAATCAGAGTCTTTGGGGTTTCTTGGGTTTTGGTGGGGGGTTGAGACAGGGTCTCACTTCGTAGTTCAGGTTGGCCTTGAACTCCTGATGAAGTCCAGACTGACCTCGAACTCACAGCAATACTCCTGCCTCAGCTTCCCGAGTGCTGGGATTAAGGCGTGCACCACCACACCTGGCAATAGTCATGGTCTTCATTACTGTGGTTTTTAATAAATTTGAAATTGAGAAGTGTGAGTCCTCCAAGGTTTTGTTTTTTTTTTTCATTTTTGTTTGTGTTGTTTATTCTGGGTCACTTTAGATTTGTTTACTTTAGGAATACCTTGTCAATTCCTGCAAAGAAGCCAACTGGGCATTTGATAGAGATCAGTTTGAATGCATAAATCCATTATGAAACATTGTCACCTTAACATTGTCCTCCAACATATGAACACACATGTCTTTCAACTTATTTAGGCATTTGGTACTTTCTGTTTTCAAGTCTTGCACTTCTTTCACTTGATACATTCATTAGTGCTGGGCATTGTGGTGCACGCCTATTATCCCAGAATTCAGGAGCCTGAGACAGGAAGATCAGGAATTGGAGGCCAGCATAGGCTGTGTAGCAAGTTCAAAGACTGCCTAGCAAGACACTGTCTCAAAAAATATAGACCTATTCATAAGTATTTTATTCTTCTTATGCTATTATAAATAGAATTACTAATTTTATGTTCACATTTATTGCAACTGTACAGAAATAAAAATGATTTTTCTATGTTCTTATGGACTCTGCTGCCTTGCGGAACTCATACTTCTAATTTTTTAAATGTTTATTTTTAATAGTACATGTTTATGGTATATAATGATTATGTTCATTGTGGGGAGTTGATACATGTACACAACAAATCTCAGTTATCTTTTCATCTCCTTCCGCTCTGCTCTCTCCCGCTTCCCTTTATCTCTTGGTGTCCCCTTCCCTTTTGCAAAAATCTCTCTCCCTGCTGCTGAATACTTTTTATTTTGTCTTTGATTTATCCCAGCAACACATTTAGCTACACTTCCCTTATGATTCAGTCACCCTTCAGAAGCCCCACCTATGAGTGCATGAGGCACTGTGGGGACATCTACTTATCACTTTCTTTTGGGGCGGTGGTACTAGGAGTCATACTCAGGACCTTGTGCTTGCCAGGCAGGTGCTTGTGCCGCTGAGCTATATCCCTGGCCCTCATTCAGTCTTTTAACAGCACCTCTCTCCATCCTTTTTTTTTTTTTTTTTTGGTTTTGGTTTTTCTCTGGTACCGGGAACCGAACTCACGACCTTGCGCTTGCCAGGCAGGCGCTTTGCCGCTGAGCTAAATCCCCAGCCCCTCTCCATCCTTTTTTACGGGAACTGAGGCTTCCCTATTTGATGTGGTTATGGTGGAGTTCCCAACGACAGCATCTAAACAATTGACACAGCCTGGCTACTCACAGTACCTCGTAGTACCCAGATAGCTGACCATTAGCCTAAGACGTGCGTTCACAGTACAAATCAGCCCAGTAAGAATCCTTTTCTCAGATATCTATATTCAGAAAAATACATCGATGTATAAAATTTTTATTTTCAGCCACCGACAGTCGTCCCCTGATACGGAGGTGAGCGTGAGAAAATAATGCTAAAACAAAAACTGCAAGAAAAGATGGAAATAGAAAAAAATTCAGATACTGTTCAGTTTCCAAATGAAGTTCTAAAATTATAAGAAAATCTATTGTTTAGCAAAAATATAAAGAATAAAAAATTTAGTTTCCAAAGGAAAGTTAGTTTTCCTCAGAAAGTTAGCTTCTGTTTAAAAGAAAGGTTTTCACAAAATAACTTTAATAAAGCTTGTTTGGGTGAAGATTGATACATGAGTCAGGCAACACTCAACCTGCCTGAAGAAAGAAGAAGAAATATATTTGATTGACTAGACTGGAAAGTCTGCAATTAGATGGGTTTTTTTTTTTTTATTGTTCTTTGTCCTTCTAGTACCAGGAATCAAACTCACGACCTTGCACTTGCCAGGTAGGTGCTGTGCTGCTGAGCTAAATCCCCAGCCCCTGCAATTAAATATTAATTGGCAGTTTCTGAGCCGTGATTTCTCTAGTTTTGTTCTACTATTTATGTTTACTATTATGTCTTACTATTATGTTTACAACAGAGCTTAAAGTGCTAGGGCACCTCAGTTGAAAGGCCTCTCAGTTAAACCTTTTAGAACAAGTCCCCCTTTTAGTCAGCCTTCACTTAAATTGACCAAAATTTGGGCCTAAGTAACATGTCATCATGGGTGGGCTGTCTTTCTTTCTTCTGGAATTTATAAGCCATGACATCAGGCTCATTGAAGAAATATTTTTTGTGTTGTCCATCTTGTTTTTGTCCCTCTAAATCACAGTAAGACCATTTGGCACACCACTGATGGCTA